AGGGGTTCCGAGCTTTAGAGAGAAAAAGCGAGACCTAGAGAGAGAAAGTGACGAAACTGACTCTGCAAATGTCATAGATCGATCTCCATCACCATTGGAGTCCGGCTTGAGCTTGGAGAAGACCTGATTGAGTGCCAGAAGCATATTATCATCCTTCACAGTATGGTTTCCGCATCTGAGCTAGATTTTCCATCTCTCTCTATGGAGTAGTTTTCTTATTCACCTGGGTATGAATAACCCTAGATTTGTATGTTAGGTCTGATTGTATGAACCCAAGTACAAATTCATTGATATGATTATGTTCAATTGAGGTTTGATTTGTTGAATGGCATGAATCCTGATCAAATTCCTGTTCTTTTTGCTTTAACCTAGAACGAGAATATCTGCCTAGGTTGATAGAGCACCCTTGATTGAAGGTAGTGAATTGGCGACTTTAGTCGAGAAGTCAATTCACTATTCTGTACCAAATTTACTTCGGTAGTGGAGGTTTGGTTCGTTGGGGCCTCAATCTGTTTACTCCGGTGGAGTTTAGTCGCCCGCTGGGGACTCAGATTGAGAGGGTCTGGAGACTTTTAGTCGAGACTTCAGACTGTTTAAGAACCTCCCGCAGTATAACTATCATTGAAATTGAACTTGGTAAATTACAATCCGGCTTAACTGCAGTCTAGGGGGAACCATATCCGGGTGACCTCTCTCAACTTGAAAACAACTGTTTAATTGCTTGCTTATTTGCTTGCTTGGACCTGCATTAAAGTTTCACTGCTAAATAATAAGAACTCACGGAGTAGTCATCACATCTAGGACCCGGGTTGACATTAAAACCCAAACCCGCTATACTACGCTTTAGGAAGTGGTTACACTTGGCCATTTTCTAGAGTGACGGTAGGAGCAAGTCATGAAGCCTACTTTGGAGCTCAATTCGAGAAGCATGGATGAGAGTCGAGTTCAGGGTTCTCTACCACGTGAAAGTAGGTATGTTTGTCTACAAAGGCAAGGCTTTGGATGAAAGGCTTCAAACAAATGGCTCAAAGTTGGTACGAAGGCTGTTTTTCTGGCAGCTTGCTTGTGCTAGAAGGCAGCTTACTTCGTAGCAACTTCGAGTCTTTTGTTTGAAGCCTTCCAGATATCCAATATTTCATTCAATTCATTTCCTTTGTAGATAAACAAACCTACTTTCATGTGGTAAAGGACCCCGGACTCGACTCTCATCCATGATTCTTGAATTGAGCTCCAAAGTAGGCTTTACAAACACGTTCCCAGACTTGGCCATTAACAGGTATTTTCCTAGTTTTGGCATAGCCCTTTGATCAGGTTCAAAAATGGTCTTCTGGAATTCCTATCGAGCTCCCAAGCACTTCAATGTGTAGAGGGACACTCCAACTTCCATACAAGCCATTAATCTCCAATTTCCACTAAGCCAATTGTAAGATGTGAATATCCAAAGTAGGCACCATGAAACTGTTTTTACACTGAAACAACAGATTCGGTCGACCTAATTGATAGATAGAAGAAGAATTAGGCATTGAGAATTTGGGAATTAGGGATGGAAAAAGAGAATTGGGGATGAGAATAGAGAGAGAAGATTAGGGATTGGGATTAATAATATGGTATATTCTTAATAATAATCCAAATGAGGTTCTCCTTCTTAAATAGTAGGAGTGAAATAATAACACAAAACAATACCCAAACTACCCGGCCACACTCGGCCTCAGCCCGACCCGTCCCCATGTCTCGTGTTTCCATCATCGCTCTCCTCTTCAGAATCGACATTGCCCTCAATGTCAAAGGACGGGTAACGCTGCACCAATGTAGCAGTCTCCTCCCACATGATCCTTCGGAACAAGATGCTTCAACAACACCCAACTCTCCTCGATTAGGCGGTCACCCTTGCACTTCTGATGCATCTCCAATACCTTTAGGGGAGTCAACTCGAGGTCTCCATCAACACTCACTGGTGGAGCGGTCGTCTCTGTACGATTAGCTGGTTTGCGATACTGTTTCAGCAACGACACATGGTATGTCGGATGAATGCGAGAATTCGGCGGTAACTGCGGTCCATACGCCACCGGATTAACCTTCTGCACTATCTCATAAGGACCAAAGAAGCGAGCGGAAAGCTTCTGGTAAGCTCTCTGAAATACCAAAGCTTGACTATAGGGATGCAATCGGAGCAGTACCAGATCACCGACTGCGAAGTCCTCCTCCGGCCTACCTGAATCTGCAGCCTGCTTCATTCAATTGTTCGCAGCTTCCAAATTGAGCTTAAGTTGCTGTAGGACCTCATTGCGAGCTTCCAAGCAGTGATTGAACGCGTCGACGATGCTAGCCCCACTCTTGTAGCACACCAAAGACGGCGGTGGGAGGCCATACAACGCCCCAAACAGAGTCATCCTGATGGCTCTATGGTACGTGGTATTGTACCACAGCTTGGCCCAAGGCAACATACCCAACTAACTTCACGGTTGCTGATGCGCGAAGCAGCGCAGTTACTGCTCTAAGTGCCTATTTATTACCTCCGTCTGTCCATCAATTTGCGAATGATACGCCAAACTCATTCGCAGTGCTATTCCGGCCATGGCAAACACCTCCTGCCAGAAATTACTCAGAACGACAGAGTCCCGGTCACTTACAATGGTTATGGGAAACCCATAATGTCGTACCACGCTCATAACGAACTGATCAGCCGCAGTATTCGCCGTATAAGGGTGAGCTAGCGCCATAAAATGAGCATACTTCGTTAGGCGATCAACAACTACAAACAATACAGTCTTACCTCCCGACGACGGTAGCCCAACGATAAATCCATAATGATGTCTTCCCATACCCATTCTGGTACCGGAAGTGGCTGCAAAAAGCCCTCCGGGCGCAAATGGGATGCCTTCACTTGTTGACAGGTATCATAGGAGGCCACATAATCCTTCACCGTGTGCGCCATACGCGACCAACAAAAGTGCGCCTTGACTCTGCGTAGAGTCCTCTCCGTGCACGAGTGACCTCCGAATGGTGAATCATGAAATTCTTGAGAACCGTCGTCAACAGAGAGGACCCCGCGGATAGCACTACACGACCTTGAAGGTCATAAGCCCATGCAGAAACACGTACCTACCCGACGTCTCGCTCATTGTCGTGTCACAGCACTCCTGCAAGTAAGGATCGGTCTCAGCATGAGACCGTAGCTCATCCCACATCTGATGTACGTGTCCGGATATGGCTGCCAGCATCTCGCCACCATGACTGCGAAAGAGCCCATCGGCCACCACATTCGTTGGGCCCGATCGATAATGAATCGTGTAGTTATACCCCATCAGCTAGGACACCCAGTAATGCTGATCTAGAGTTGACACCTTCTGCCCCAGCAAATGCTTCAAGCTCTGATGATCACTATAAATGTGAAACTTTTGAGTTTTTCCCCAACAAGTACGGTCTCCAGGTTTGGACTATTGAGATGATAGTATGCATCTCCTTCTTATACGTAGACCAAGCTTACTTAGTTGGCGCCAAGGTTTTTCTCATGTAAGCTATGGGATGGCAATCCTTGGATAGTACTGCACCAATCCCCCAACCAGAGGCATCTGCTTTGATCACAAGGGGCTTAAAGAAGTCAGGTAGCGCCAATGTAGGTGTAGACGACATCACCCGGTTGAGCTCCTCGAATGCCAACTCTGCTGCAGGCGTATAGTCGAAGCCTCCTTTCTTCAACAGATTCTTCATAGGCATCTCGATCATGTTGTATCCCTGCACAAACTTCTGATAGTACCTGGTCAACCCTAGAAAGCCACGCAGCTCAGTCGCGTAGGCCGGAGTCGGCCACTCCATCATCGCATGGATTATTGCCTGGTTGACCTTCACTCCTTGCGGGGTCACTATGCAACCCAGGTAATCTACTTTCTAAACTCCAAATGAGCATTTGGATGCCTTGACTTAGTACTAATGTTGTCTCAGAATCCCAAACACTACCTCCAAGTGATGTAGGTGCTCCTTCCACGTCGGGCTCTATACCAATATGTCATCAAAGAAGACCAGGACATACAGGCGTAATAGAGGTATAAAAATTTCGTTCATGGCAGCTTGAAATGTCGATGACGCATTGCACAACCCGAATGGCATCACAGGTACTCGTAGTGACCATTATGAGTCCGGAATGCAGTATTGTGCACATCTTCCTCCTGCATTCAGATCTTATGGTACCCGGCTTGCATATACAGTTTTGTGAAGTAACTGGACCCATGTAACTCGTCCAACATGTCATCCACAGTCAGAATGGGGAATTTGTCTTTCACTGTGTCATGATTCAGTGTGCGGTAATCCGTACAGGAACACCAATTACCATCCTTCTTCTTCACCAACAGGACTGGCAACGTGAAAAGGCTAGTGCTAGGGCGAATCAGTCTCGTCTTGAGTATCTCCCCAACCTGATTCACTATCTCAGTCTTCTGTGAGTGTCCATACCTATACGGTCGCACATTGACGGCTTCAACCCCTTCCTTCAGCCGGATCTGATGATCCACCTGGCGATGGGGCAGCAGGACCGATGGTGTCTCGAACAATTCCTAGAGCAGTGTTAACATCGCTTGCAGCTCCTCGTCCAGCTCTTTGGGCTCTGCCCGGCCAATCGGCCAGCATAGAATGGCGAGCTCCATGTCACCATCTCGCGCGCACTCCTTTATGCAGATGGGCCCCATGGAGATCCTCATTCCATGCAATGTCCACTCTTTTTCCTGCCAGTTAAATTGCATCGTCTACAGATTCCAGTCACTGACAACCAGTCCTAAGCTGCGAAGCCAAGGGATGCCTAGAATCACATCAAATCCTCGGAGTGGTAGCACCCACAAATCGGTCGTGATCTCCAAGCCTTGAATCACCAACGTGATTCCTTTGTAAATTGCTTGGCACTGCATGGGTGCACCATTGGCCACCTTAACCACCACCGGTGTTATCGGAATGGCTTCGTGTGGCAAGGTTTTTGCAAACTCCGCACTTACAAAGTTCAAGTAAGCCCACTATCCACAAGAGTGAGCGCAGGGCGCCCCTCCTGCTGTGCACGGAATCGTAGGGAGCGATAACTCCGAAGGCGTTTCCCCGAGTCCTCGCACGTCTTCCGATCCGGTCTGCATCTTTAGGGTGCCTTCCTCCCTCGTCGCTGCGCCTTCTTCACCCGATCGCGCATTGGCTTCCTTCCCACGCGGCGGGGTCGAACATCTCTCCCTCGCCACAACCAACTTCTTCTTGAGCACGACGTACTCCCGCTCCCAAGCTCGAACGCGAGCATCCGCCTGGCGAAGCTGCTCCAGCATCTGTGCACGCTCCGAATCGGTGAGTTGTGAAGAGCTCATTCGGGCTCTGATACCAATCTGATAGATAGAAGAAGAATTAGGGATTGAGAATTTAGGAATTAGGGATTTAAGAAGAGAATTGGGGATGAGAATTGAGAGATAATATTAAGGATTGGGATTAATAATCTGATATTTTCTTAATAATAATCCGAATGAAGTTCTCCTCCTTAAATATTAGGACTGCAATAATAACACAAAACAATACCCAAACTACCTAGCCACACTCGGCCTCTGCCCGACCCGTCCCCATGTGTCGTGTTTCCATCACTAATCCTAACTGAGATCGACCAACAAGTGCAAGTTACGGTGACTTGCAAGGCACCATAGGCGCACCCTATGAATTAAATATTTTAGTTTTTAATTAATTAATTAATTATTTTTTTTTTGAATACCCTTGACAAAATTTCTGGGTCCGCACCGAGAGGTGTCTCACCTTTTGAGACCTAGGTGTCTAGATTTTTATCTTATTCACGTCTAACTCCATGTTGGGTTCTTCTAGGTGAAATCCAACTCTCTAAAAGAATAGAACAATAAAACATCCTATCTTCTTCACAAGCCCACACTAAAAAGAGAACATACACGAATTATAAATTTATGCTACTTATTAATTAAAAAATTTATATATCAGGATACGATTTGTATGCTCGTGATGATCTGGCCGTTAGATTCACATGGACGAGCTCCGACCAATTTTAACGGTCAACTCTTATTTTCTCTTAATTGAACTTCGCGATTGGGATTAGAAAATCGGTGTCTGAATTTTACCCATTAGATATTAAGGTATAGTATCATCCCACAAACTCAATTTAATTCAGGGTCTAAATAGATATATCTCACTATGAGTATATGGAGCATAGTAACTCTAGGAGCACACGCATCTCACCCATATATATATTTACATATTTGGATGAGGAGAAGATTTTGGTCTTAAACATTTGAGGAAAGGGTTGGTGACTCGCAAAAAACTGCACCACAATTAAACCCCAATTAGAGCCCAAGTTTTTAAACTCTAATCGGGTGCAGTATAGGGCAAGTATTTATATATCGACCCGGACCAGTCCGTCTACCCCTACTTCGGTTGTTGAAATCATTACCTAGCGATAAAACTTTGGTTTAAAGGTTTTCCAATTGAAATGAAAGAAAACAGAGGTACTTTGGTTTGAAAACTCTTTTGTGGGAAAGTCACTTGGGTTTCGCTTCCCCCTAGCCACTACCATGCTACGTGAGTTGGAACGATTGCCTTAGGCACGTTAATCATGAACCACAGAGGAAAGCGTATGTGGTTGGAGACCACAGTCTCGATCGCTAAACCGAGGTGAGGATGAAAGGTCGTGTCACTCGACCCTATCGGTTTAGACAATCGGTAATCGGCCTAATCGGCTTAAACCCGGGAAGAGCTGAGTTCACGACCGTGAACTATCAAACGCGTCCGTGAACTAAAGCCTTGCGCCAAAACGCTCTGCATCGCTCACGTTAGTTCACCGGAAACTGCTTGTTTTCACGGTCTTAGTGATCGTGAACTCGCCTTGCGTCAGTAAGCTTCAACTTGGCTATGGACGCCTTGCGCTTCATGGTCAACTCCCTTCTTCACGGTCTTGCACGTCTATGAACTCCTGCCTTTAGCCGTGAACTTGCGCTTTTCCACCTCTTCTCTCGGTTTTCGATCCTTTTCTCCAATCCTTCGACTCCGAGGCCGGTTCCAGCTGTTAAATCCTGAAAAGCACACAAACACGAAGAACCTCGCATAAAACCAACCTTTAATGAGCGAATTTGGCACAAACATCTAAGCAAACCGGGGGCAAAATATGTGCAATTAGGCCCGAATCATTCCCCCACACTTAGACGTTTGCTTGTCCCCAAGCAAACCATTTCACGCACACGGTAATATTTCAACATACACAAATGCTTTGGGGACAACTCAAAGGACACGAAGCGAGAATTCTCGATGTTTATTGACAATCAACACATGAACCGTAGCAAGCAATACCGACATCCACCACAAACCACATTCAAAGCCACCAAAATGGGCAAATGAAAAGTTCTCAACTTATTCATGGATAATTGCAAGTCTCAACAAAACCACTTATCGACCACAACCAACCATGCATGGAATTCAAGTCCGATGAACAAATGGAAAGGCAATAAAGGTCCTCACTGGGGTATGATATGACATGCAAAGCAAGAATGAATCGCTCACTCTCAAAACCAGTGGGGTCGGGACATTTTTGGTGCAAAAGATGTGCAAAATCGTAACCTCTTGGCCCTATCGTCTCAATACCACGACGGTAACCTCTAAACGCTAGAGTTCACGGGATGGTTGTCACCACTAGCTCGTTCGGAGGTCTTAGACATGAGTTCAGATGACTGGCGATTGGCTTGGACATGGGGGAAAGATTTTTTGTGTGGTGGCAATCATGACGTGAGGTTCTACATCTTCAACCTAAATCCGAAGGGTCTATGGTTTCGACTAAAACCCTTCTCTTCAATCAAAGGCCACTAGCATCGGCCAAAACCCTTATCTCTCCCTTCCAACTATCACCAATCATGAACTACCTTGAAGCACTCTTCCTCGGTCAACTCTTGCTAGTTCTTTAAGGTTTGGTAGTGAAGGAGTTCTAAACAATGTGGGGGTTTCGTTGGCTTGGGTGCAGAGAAACCCTTTCCTAGTAAACAAATTTATTATTAATAAAAAATTATTACTTTTTAATTTCTGTATTTTGTTTCCTTATAAATTTTTCTCCTGTATTTTGTTTACTTTCTGATAATAAAAAATTAATATTATACAAAAATTCTATATGATGAATGTCGATCACATTTTCCACAACACCAACAAAAACAAATTGTATGATAAAAATACTATTATTTTTATAATATATATTTTTTATTATTAGAACGTAAACAAAATACAGAAATTAAAAAACAATTTTTTATACCCTACTAGCTGACGTGGCAAGTGAGCTGGACCTTGACTAACGGTCAACTCGGTTGACCGTCTAATTTGACGGTCAAACCCGCCTCCTGGCCAAATAAGGAAGTTTGCTACATAGTTAAGGCCATGATAGCAATTTCCGATACCACGGGCTAATGTAGAAAGTTTGTCTATAGTACGAGCCAAACTAAGGTATTAACCCTTTTATTTATGATTCATTTTATTCGTTTCCAGCTTTCTTGTCAGCTTGTGTGGTACACTATGGATTGCTAGTCTAATTACTAACTTGAATTTAATAAAAACATTATGATTTCTTTTGTGATATAGTTTGACTAATTTGTTAGAACATTTGGTGATAGATGATATGAATTTGAAATAGTTCATGGTTAGAGTGATAAATTCAGTTCTAAATTAGTATATTATATATGTATTTTATGTTATAGTGCCTGAAGAGTTTATTAACAGTGAGTTAACGGTTTTATAACGGTTAACCGCTGAACCAGGAATCACTAACTTTCCGATTCAAATTCCGGTCCGATTCTAAAATAGAGAAAATTACACATGGCAACCAACCGAGCCGAATTGGGTAATTTTGGGAGATCTCGAGTTCAAGCCGTAGCAGGTTGGATCTTGTCGGGTTGGTTTATTTTGAGCTATATATTGACCTAAACTATAACTTTTAAATTAGATAGACTTACACGTGTTCTTAGAAATAAGAACAAACATCCTTCAAATTTGTTTAAAGAATACAAAATTTCACACAAGTGTGACAACAATTTACCTAAAATGTTGCGCATTCTCAAATACTCACATGCTGATAAAAGGAATTACAAATTATACAAAACGCCAAAGAAACATCACGAGAATAATAATACTACAAGGAGTACATGATATTGTATTATATGTACATTCCAAACCTGGATTTCAACTTCTTCCACATATTTTTAAACATCTCACCAATCTATTAGTGATTCTTTTAATGTAGAGTTGAATAGAATTTGGAGTGGGTCGATTTTCATACCCACCCAACCAAAAAAATCATGAGCTAATCAAGTTTGGGTCATTGAAATTTTGTTTCTTTGAATCCATTCGAATTTTGAGTTATAATAACTTCTAACTCATTTTAAATGTTGGGCTAGCATTATTTGTCAAGTGATCTAATATAAAATAAACAACTCAGATGAGTCTCATACAACTAGAGGTGTCAATCGGGCGGGCCTGGGCTGGGTTCATTCGGGTTGCGGGTTGGTCGGGTTGTGGGTCAATCGGGTTGCGGGTTGATCGGGTTGCGGGTTACTCGGGTTGCGGGTCAATCGTGTTGTGGGTCAATCGGGTTGCGGGTCAATCGGGTTGCGGGCCAATCGGATTGCGGGCCAATCGGGTTACGGGTCAATCGGATTGCAGGTCGGGCGGTTCGGGTTGCGGGTTTTACGGACCAGAACCTCGCGTTACTTTTTAGTGATTATTAGTAAGTCGTAAATCGTAACTATATGAAGCTAACACAAAACTTGTCAACAAAAAAAAAAGGAATCACTACTTAAAGTCAAAGACTCAAAGGTGGGGGGAAACAAAATTTTGGGAAAACATTACATGGGGAATTATTGGCAGGTCTCGACGGGTGGGGAATCAAATTTTTGGGTAGTAGTATTGGGGGAACCCAAAATTTGGGGAGAAAAGTTTAAAAATAATTTTTAAAATTTTTAAAAACAAGTGAAATTGTTCATATAAATGTATTGAGAAATTGTTGGTTTAGCTAGTTAATTGTTTATATGATTTTTGTATTAAACTAAATTATAAAATTTAGAAAAATTGTTGTGAGTTCAATTGTAACTTTACTCGATAACATATAATTTGTACCAATTAATCACGGGGAGCCCCTTGACTAATATCAAATTTTGTCACACGCAACATCCAAAAAATCTCATTTAGAGACAGGAAGTACACCTGTTTATACAGTATTTGCCGTGACAAAATCATTTCCCATGACCAGATGTCAAACATTAGTCACGGTATTTGATTGGTTCTCATGTCTATATATTAACAATTGATCACAAACATTAGTTGCACAAATACTGCTAAGATCACAAGCAAGCACTCATACAAACACATGTTGACAAGCAAGCACTTCAGACTGATGCTAAGCTCAATTTCATGGAGGTCCTCGTCTTTAAGAGATTGTCTCAAGAGATTGCTCTGCTAATATTTGATTCATCTTCGGAGTTACTTTGCTGCTGTCCATTCTCCCAGCTCCCTGTTCTTGTATACTATGTCAGTAAGCGCACAACTTCACCAAAAATGGTCTTTTCCTCAACAACCACCAGCAACAAAAAAACAGAAAAAGAATGCAAGAATTAACTTACCACAGCAGATAGCCATTTCCTTCCACCAACCATCCCACTCTTTAAGCCCCACATCAAAGCAGCAGCAGAAGCTGAAATTCCAGAAACTACACTGAAAGAGCTCTGCTCCTATTGCAGTTATTCCTACAAATTGTTCAACAAATTTCCCAATGCATTAATTTCTGAAATCTTAAAAGTCACTTATGAAATGAATGGGGGAAACCACGAACCTGATGATCTTGTGCAAACTTAAACACTTGGTTATTTGTATTCTTCTGCTCCAAGGGTACTCTCTTGCTTGAAAGTAAAAAAATGTGAGAACTTTGTAATTTAAATGCCTAAAGGAGACTAGTGGGGAAATCTTAACAAGAACAGAAGAATAGCATGTACCTCAGTTGATGTTGCAGTCTGTAGATCTACAGCTTGAGAAATGAAATATGGAGGGTTGAAGCTGAAAGATACAGAGAGAGGGTAAAGCGAGAGTTGAAGTCAATGGGTGTACTGTTTTGATAAGAAATCAATCGAACTACGCTAGCATAAGATAATTAATTGGCCCGAAGAACGAACATACCCATCAATGCCATCTTCCCCATCTTAGGCTGCATGCACTCGCGTTGCTTCCGCTTCAAATTTCTAGCATTATCCATCTCGATATATGCCTGCATAGAGTGAAGAAAGCAGTAAACTGGAAGAAGTAAGGTTGAATTCCGTCAAAACTGCAAAATCCTTTATTTGTTCGATTTCAAACCCTAAAAAATCTAAAATCTGAAATTTCAATCCCAATTTCACAATCGAAGCATGAAATTGAAGCTAACCAACCCAAATTCCATAAAGAAGATGAAAATACAACGAGAATGTTGACTGCTCTCTCTGCCAGCGTCGATTTGGCAGCGAAGTGAGCAGAGGTGGGGAGTTCAGGAAACGCAAGGAGGATGCGAGGTTGGGAGAGGGGTTTCATAAGTGAAGGAGTTCGGGTTTTAGAGAAGGACTGAAGGAGGTGGGAGGAGGAATCGGTGGGAACTGGGGCTGCAGCAGCGGTGGAAGTGGGTGGTGGTGATAGGCTCTCTCAACTCCACTTCTCTGAACTCTGAAGAAGAACGTAGGGGAGAGAAGGAGGGAAAGGGAAGCGAAGCGGCCAAGCGGGTAGTAAGTTTTGCATTTCATTATTCTGCGTGGGGGCGGGGAGAGAATTGTGAAAATTCAAAAGACACGGGTATATTTTCTATGCCGGAAATTTTTATGCAGAAAATGAAATTTTAGAGCCAAAACAAAAACCAAAGTAAAATTGGGAGCCAAAAAGTACTCCCTCCTATAATTTTGAACAATTATTATCAAAGCTAATTTTCTACATTGTTCACGGTAATTAACCGTGACTAAGTATTATTCACGGGAAGTGAAGACTAAAATACTGATAAAATGATTGCCGTGATTAAAATCATACCACTAATTACGGTAATTTTTCCTGTAGTGGAAAATGGGTCTGCATTTTGAGTTCTAGGAGAATGAGATGAAAGAAGAGATGTGAGAATTGGGAGGGCTTATTTGATTTTTTAGAAAATAAGGGTTTTGATAATGGGGGGAAATTTTTCAGTGGGAGGGAAAGTTTGGCAGGGGAAATTTTCGGTATATTAGGTCCAAGAAATAGTGGGGAAATGTTCCCTCCTAAAAATTGGTAAAGGCAATGTTAAATGACGATTGCTAATGGTCACGGGAATGGGAGGTCAAAGTTGAAAAAAATTAAATACCGTGTTTAATATTATGCAATTAGTTACAGGAATATTTTCGGTAATCATTGGTATACTTCTTAATACGGTAAAAATTTATACCCTAAACCCCTAATGGTTTTATTCATGAACATATATGAATAAGAAAACTTGATCTTATTAGTTATGATTTTGACTAATCGTGGCCAAACATTAATACCTTATACTCTAACCATATACCCTCCAAGTCGACTCTATAACCTATACCCTAAACCCCTACTGGTTTGATTCATGAACATATGTTAATAAGAAAAGTTAATCTTATTAGTTATGATTTTGACTAACCGTGGTCAAATCATTAAGACTTTATACCCTAACCATATACCCTATAAGCCAACTCTATAACCTATACCCTAAACCCCTAATGATATGAATTCTGATTGATGAACATGTGTTAATAAGAAAAGTTGATCTTATTAGTTATGATTTTGACTAATAGTTGTTATACCATTAATACATTATACTCTAACCCATTAGACTAACAATATACCCTATACATCGACTCTATAGTCTATATACCCTAAACCCCTAATTGTTTGATTCATGAACACATGTAATAAAAAACTCAATCCTTATTAATTATAAGTTATTATTTTGAGTTTTTGACTAATCGTGCCTAAAACATTAATACCTTATATCCTAACCCATTACACTCATTATATACCCTATACACCAACTAAAATAAGCAAGTAGTTATGTGTACTAAAATAAGCAACTTAAATCTTATAATTATCTTATTATGCTAATTAATATTTTATAATGTTATGTGCACTATTAGGTTGATGATATATCTAAATAAATATTTGATGATATTATATGCGTTAATAGGTTGATGATGTATATTATTATACTAAGTTAATAATTGATGATGTAATGATCAGACTTTAGTGAACTAGAATTTCAAATGTCAACTTTTGGTTTATCTTCATCGAATTCCTTCTACTATAGTCGGGCTGCGGGTTGGTCGGGTTACGGGTTGGGGTAAGTCGGGTTGCGAGTTGGTCGGGCTGCGGGTTAATCGGGTTGCGGGTCGATCAGGTTGCGGGTTGGTCGGGTTGCGGGTTGGTCAGGTTGCGGGTTGATCGGGTGCGAGTTGGTCGGGTAGCGGGTCGATCGGATTGCGGGCCGAGCTGGTTACGGGTCATTGACTTTTAGTCAAATCGGATTGCGGACAGGTTTCGGATCGGGTTAATCGGCTGGATTACTCGGGTCAGGTTACATTTTGACAGCTCTACATACAACCCATAAAGCATACAAGTCGCTGGGAAAACCCCTGACCAAGGATGGTCGACTTTCTTATTACATGAGTAGTATCAGTAGAAAACAACATTAGGTCTTTCATCCTGTTCAATGAAACCTTAATCAACACTCATGATGAGAACAATAGCTTGCGAATGACCACTTTCTTCTCTCCCTCCAACAAAAAAAAAAAAAAAAACTAAAAGAAAAGAAAAGTCAAACCTACACAAGAATAAGGAAACCCCAAGCAGAACGACGTCGTACGTGGCTCACAAAGTTAATTCAAAACCTCGTCTTTCAAACTCCCTCTTGAGTAATAATTCTCTCCCTCCTCAAGCCATCTCAACTTGACCACCTGCTCCGGCCGACTTGGTCGAGTGCGGAATCTCCTGATCGGCGCCGTAAAACGAGTCGTGCCTGGACTCATACTTCTCCCCATCTCCCCACAACGCATATGCCTCTTCCCCATGGATGGCGTCATCGCCGGTGCTAAGCTCCTCCTCAGACAACCTCAACGGAACCACCAATTTAATCAACACACATATGATACTGGTCATGATGACGTTGACGAAGACGACGAAAAGTATTCCGAGGAGCTGGACACCGAGTTGCTTGAAACCTGCCCCAGCGCGGTTGTCGTGGAAGCCGTTGAGCAAGCCGATGTAGTGCTCCCACTCAGGGACAAGGTAGAAAATCCTGCACAACTTAGGCTCGGCGAAGATTCCGGTGAGGATACCTCCGAGACTTCCTGCGATGGCGTGGGTGTGAAAGATGGCCATGGTGTCGTCGACGTGCTTGAGGAATGAGATCTTCTTGTGGAGGACCATCATTGTGTACCATGGAATGCTTCCTGACAAGATCCCCATTATTATTGCTGCCCATCCTTGCACTACTCCTGCATTGCATATATTAGAGAGTGATATAAGATTAAGGATAAATACAATTTAATATCCAAACCTTTAATTTTAAACAAAATAATAGCCAAATCTTTTCGAAAACAATCTAATATCCAAATCGTCAACTTTCCGTTCGTTTGACCGTTAGTTGACACTTCAAAAAAGTTCGAAATACGACGCTTCATCAATATCCATCGATATCTTCTCTAAAAAACCACCAACATATCGTGGTTCCAAACCCGAGAAGTCCATGACTCCACCATGATAGTATAGAATATCTAAATATTCAGTCATCTGCAATGCCTAAACAAGAAAACAAAGTTGTATTGCGACAATTTTCCCTAAACAAAGCTTTTTTAAAGTGTCAACCAACGGTCAAACGGACGGAAAGTTGACGATTTGGATATTAGATTGTTTTCGAAAAGGTTTGGCTATTATATTGTTTAAAATGAAAGGTTTGGATATTAAATTGTATTTACCTTAAGATTAATAATAATCTTTTCCAATAATTCGAGTTATTGGAACCAATTGGTTGTTGATATGGTATTAGAGTCTGGTTTGGCCAAGTGGTCATGTGTTAGAATCTCTACAACCCCTAATATTAGCAATTGATTAAAGCACAAAATATAGTGGGTCTGTGCAAACTTCAAGCTTGTGATTTGGCTTTTGTTTGAGAGGAGAGTGATATAAAATTCATAATAATCTTCTTACAATAACTCGAGTTATTGGAATCTAAGTGATGATTATTGGCAATATATGTTTTCATTTTTCAATATGTGTGAGTCCATTGGTAAGAGTTAGTCATGTTAGCATTATAGTTGTTTACTGAAACTAACCAGCTGCAGGAGTGATGCAGACGAGACCGGTGATCATGCCCTGAATGGCTCCGATGACGGAGGGCTTGCCGAAGAACATAATGTCGAGGAGTAGCCACACCAGCAAGCTAGTCGCCGTGCACACGTGGGTGTTGAGTACAGCAAGAGAAGCATCGACGCTAACGGTGTAGGGATCTCCACCGTTGAACCCCGTCCATCCCATCCACAGGAGCCCAGCTCCGGCCAACATCAGGAGTATGTTGTTGGGCGGGAACCTCTCTCTGTCCTTGTTCGCCCTGGGACCCACCTACCATAACATCAAATCAAATAAATCATAATTACTATATATTATTATCCTAGTCATATATGTATAAAAAAATTCGATGATGTTTGCGTACGTACCCAGAAAGCGGCGGTGAAACCAGCAACGCCGGAGGAGAGGTGAATGACGTAACCGCCGGAGTAATCGATGATGCCCTTCTTGGCGAGCCAGCCGGTGGGGCACCAGATGCTGTAAGCGGTGATGGTGTATGAGAAAGTGAGCCAGAGAGGGACGAAGATCATCCAGGCGTGGAAATTCATCCTCCCGAGTAGAGCTCCGGCGATGAGGATGAGGGTAATGGCGGCGAACACGAACTGGAAGTAAACCATGGTAGCGTTGGGAAGGTATCCGACGAAGGTCCTGCTCAGGAGGAACTTCTCGTCGAGGGCGACGTCCGGCTGGCCGAGGAAAGGGATGAATTTGTCGCCGAAGGCCATCTGGTAGCCCCACCCGACCCAGCAGATGAGGACGGCGGCGAAGGCGTAGAGGGCCATGAATGCCGAATTGACGGCCCACTTCTTCTTCACTATGCTGCCGTAGAGGATGACGAGGCCGGGGACGCTCTGCATCCCGACCAGGGTTGCGGCGGTGAGCTGCCATGCGTTGTCTCCTTTGTTCAGCCAGTCGGGGCTTCCCTCGTCAGTCGCAAGGTTCAATGGGAGCGCCATGTTTGTTGGGTTTTTTTCAGAATCTGTTTGTTGGGTGGAAAGAATGAGAGAATCGAGGAGGGATGGCAGGGGAGAAACAGAGGACTCTGTTTTTTATACGGTGACGAGAGAGAATGTTTTGGCGGAGTGTGCTGTGTTTTAATTTTGGCAGCGTTTGGTTTTGGGTTCGACGGAGAGTGCTGTGTTGGCAGCTGTGAAAGTTTCCTTGAAAAAAGCTTTCTTAATTAATCTTCATTTGCTATGCATCTTGAGGAATCTGTGTCTAGGAAACTCTGGGGCAACAACAATGCATGTCTTATATTCTTGTAACGTGAAGGGTGATGTGAAGCAGTTGAGTCTGAATTCACGAACCCAAATAGCTAAGGGAGACAGGGGATACAAAAAGAGTTGCCAGTTACTGGGCTTTCGTTTGGGTGGTACGAGGGCATACTTTTCTTTCCTGCAATGGGGCAAGCATATCTTAATTGAATTTGGACATTACTGCCAGTCGCTCGCTCAGCAAAATTTTTCTGGACAATGCACAAAATGAAACCAGTATGAGTAGTCTCATGTCCGCTCTTTTCTCCTATCTATACCTTAGTCCCTCTGGAGGGGCACAACATGAAAATGATCGACCTACGAACAGTAGTGAGCCGAAACTGGGTGGTGTCCTAAGAACAGTAATGATCGACTCTCGCTCAAACTCTTTGAATGGAAGCCCAAAGAAGCCCTCCCTATCTCGTTTCAATACTTAGGCAATTTCAGGCTTTTTCACGTGTCGAGTGAGGTTTTTGAACAGCTTGAAAAATGACCTTCTAGACTTCCCCTCGAGCTTCCAAGCTCTCCAATGGATAGAAAACCCATTTGTCTTCAAAACAAGCTCTTAAGCTCCCATTTCCATCGAGTCAATTGAAAGCACTAAGCTCGCAAAGTCGGCTACCTGAAACGTGAAAAACACTTGAACAATTTTTAGGCTCTTTCTTGTAATTCAATTTGACATCTTTGTCGATCAATCCTGAAGGGAAAACGATCGATTCCAGGATTGTATCACGTCTCATGTGAATCACCCTCTAATTGGCATTTGGTCGGGAGTAGTTTTTTGCGTTCGATTGCTTATGATATTTCTTTTTGAAGACATCTTATTGATACCCACTTTATTCGATTGTAAAACTTGGTTGTGAGAAAGTAGAAAACCGAGCATCTTTCGACATACCTAAACCTTTACCTAAGAATTAAGGTTTTGCACGTAATCAAACTTACCGCTTTAGTCATTTTTCAAACATTTGAATCGAGATACGTTGAGAAATCAAGCAAGGTCACTTCAATTCAAAACATCTCATACACTATGATCCTCAACATTGGTCAAGACAATGGGAAGCAAGATTCATCGATTCAATGCAAGTAATTGCATTGCAAGGGAGCAAACTTGGAGTCCTCAAATTAAAAAAAAAGGGTATACTTACAGTGGATAGGTTACGGTGATTACTGTAAAATAGTAATCACCATGGTTACTAAGTGCAAATTGGGTATGATAAAAAAAATTAATTATATTTTTTAATAAATTATATTTTAGAAAGTTACAAAATATATTTACAATTTTATCTCTCTTTCTCTCACTTTCACAATCTCCAGCCAGATCTCTCTTTTTTACTCAATCTTTTCCTTCTCCGTTCAATCGAAAATAATAACACTGCAAAGAAAAAAACAAGAATCAATATCAATTTGTTAGACAACCACACCCATTTCGAAAAAATCAATATAAACAAATCAATACCAATCCGTTAAACAACCACTACCATTTCGAAAACACCAATATTATTGTAGAGATAAATCAATACCAATCTGTAACACAACCACTACCATTTCGAAAAGCACCAATACCATTGCAGAAATAAATCAATACCATTACACTAAAAAATAGTACCGTTGAAAATTTAACTAATACCAATACATGATGATCACTACCAATACAATAACATCAATGCAAAAATAACCAATATCATTGCATAATCATTACCAATGCGAAAAAATATTACCAATATGAAAAAAGATAATACCAATATAAAATACATACCAATATGAAAAATTTAGATATGAAATCCAACCGAGATGTTATTAGTCGATCTCAGAGAGAGAGAGAGAGAGAGAGAGAGAGATATGTGGCGGGGAGGGAAGTGGGGTGAGGGGAAACTAGGAGGGGAGCGCCAACGGTGAGAGGTGGGGTGAAAGAGAGAGAGGATGGGAGATGGCGATGGGCGGTGGGAAGGGAGCGCCTGCGGCGGGAGGGAGGTGGGGTGAGAGATTATGCAATATAATTAGGGTTTAATATATATATATATATGGTGGCTTCTACGGTACTTCGGGTGAAATTCAGGGTACCGTATACCTTGAGTATGAAAACACTATCTAGACCTCGAAATAGAAAAAGTTTTGGGCTTGGTACTATACCCTAATCCTTATTGAGTGAACCCTAGGTCCTAATTATCTAAATCATAAACTATAAACCCTAAGACGGAGCATTCATTTTTTTGCCTATATTTGGACGAATCATAGCCGTCGATTATTGTTTCTAATTAAATTGATATTGGAGTATAAGATTTAGGGAGCTAAGACCTAGATTTTGATCTTTAAGGGTTAGAGTATAATATCATGTCCAAAAGATCAATCAATTCAAGGTCTGGATAGCGTTTTCATACTCAAGGTATGCGGTACACCGGATTTCACCCGGGGTACCGTAGAACTCGCCATATATATATATATTAAAAGATAATAACTAGGTGTGGTATTCTTTTATTTCCAAAATTACCATTAATCTAATCTCAATCGTCAACTTAAAAATAGGGTGAAATAGAAGAAATTAAGGGTGTAGATGTATGTAGCCACCATGATTCCTCAAAATTGAGTAATCACACTAACTCATTCCTGCTTACAGGGCTTCAAGTGGTAGAAGTATGCTAAAATATCATCCACAATCACTCAAAAACATACTCTCTCGCTCAATCATTCAAAACATACATAACACCAGAGAGCATAATCAATCACAACCATTTCATACAAACATTCATGCACAACCCAACCAAACTTAAGGACCACATTGTCCACAATGTGAACATGGGGTGAAGGATATTCGAAAACCGATATAAATGCGATCGAGTTGATTGTGGTAGATTTGGGTTGGGTGGGTGGGTTTGATTGAGAGAAACATTCATAACAAAGAACTAAAAAAAATGTCACATCCACGAAATAAAACAAAAAAAATCTTGGAGCCAACAACCAACAATAAAAACTTAAAAATATAAGTATGAATTGTTCAAATAATAACACCCTACTTAGAATACTTGAATAAAAACACACAATACTACTTAACATGCGACACAATTCATTATTCAAATGCAATGTGTGTGTGTATATATATATATATATGGTGAGTTCTATGGTACCCTGAGTGAAATCCGGGGTACCGCATACCTTGAGTATGAAAACACTATCTAGACCTTGAATTGACCGATCTTTCGGACATGATACTATACTCTAACACTTAAAGATCAAAATCTAGGTGTTAACTCTCCCAATCTTATACTCCAAGATCAATTTAATTAGAAATAATAATCGATGGTTATGATTCATCCAAATATAGGCACAAAAAGGAATGCGCCATCTTAGGGTTTATAGATTATGATTTAGATAATTATGACCTAGGGTTCACTCATTAAGGGTTAGGGTATAATATCAGACACAAAAATCCTGGTAATTCGAGGTCTAGATAGAGTTTCCATACTCGAGGTATGCGGTACCTCGGATTTTACCCGGGGTACCATAGAAGCCACCATATATATATATATAGAGAGAGAGGGTAGAGAAATTGGTCATCGGTGCCATCAAGCCATGAGAAGATATCACTCTCCATTGTTGTCATCGGAGGAGGAGTCGGCTTGCAGAGAGATGTAGGGATATGGGATGTTGAGGTGTCACATGATTCTCCATTAACCCAACATCTTACAGGTCTTGTTGGCAAGGATAAGGTCATTTTCTCTCGCTCAATCATTCAAAACATACATAACACCAGAGAGCATAATCAATCACAACCATTTCATACAAACATTCATGCACAACCCAACCAAACTTAAGGACCACATTGTCCACAATGTGAACATGGGGTGAAGGATATTCGATTACCGATATAAATGTGATCGAGTTGATTGTGGTAGATCTGGGTTGGGTGGGTGGGTTTGATTGAGAGAAACATTCATAATAAAGAACTAAAAAAAATGTCACATCCAAGAAATAACACAAAAAAAAAAATCTTGGAGCCAACAACCAACAATAAAAACTTAAAAATATAAGTATGAATTGTTCAAATAATAACACCCTACTTAGAATACTTGAATAAAAACACACAATAATACTTAACATGCTACACAATTCATTATTCAAATGCAATGTGTGAGTATATATATATATATATATATATATATATAGGGGTAGAGAAATTGGTCATCGGTGCCATCAAACCATGAGAAGATATCACTCTCCATTGTTGTCATCAGAGGAGGAGTCGGCTTGCAGAGAGATGTAGGGATATGGGATGTTGAGGTGTCACATGATCCTCCATTGACCCAACATCTTACAGGTCTGGTTGGCCCAGATAAGGTCATTTTGTCTCGCTAGGCTGGCCAACCTAGCCTCGTTGGTCTCCATCTTAGCCTCAAAAGGTGGACGGGAGGGGCTTGTCCCATCGTGTGGTGGAGGTAGCGGGGGATGCTGTAGATTGTCTCCTTCCTCCTTGTCATCCACATTCACGTGAGTGATGATGTATCCCATCCACTTGATAGTGTGGGAGGTGAGTGGCTTAGTGCTTGAATTGGCGATGGCTCGAAAGTAGGGAGGAGCTAACTCAAAGTGTTTGGCGGGGCGAGTGACGAATGCTCCTTCATGCAGTCTCTTATGCTCGCCTTCAGCAGTGGCTTACATTAATAGTTGAATTACCGTCCATCCCAAATGAAATGGAACTCTCTAATGGAGGTGCTGGAGTGGAAAAGTTTTGATAATTGAATAAAGACTTCAGGAATTCTAAAAAACGGAAAGGAAAAGAAGAATGAATCAATGAAATCTTGCTTGGGCAAGATTGGAAACTTGAGTAAGGAGTAGCTCTTTCTTTTTTTTTTTATTTTTCTATTTTGAAAGAGATCCGTAGAGGACACCGAAATAGGAGTTGGAGTAGTTGATGAGGAAGTGACATATATAGTCGCCCATCCAATTTTGGGTTCTCTTGGTATATCTAGTCGTCCATCCAACTTTGCAATCTTTCTTGGTGAGGTTGTCTCACCAAGACCAAAGAAGCACATTGGTGTCTTCATCGCTTTCCCTCCTCAAAGTTTGGTAAAATTCGGTTCTGGTGAACTCCTCGGTGTAGATCTCGAGTGCCACGCCGAAGGATGTGACACTTATACTCCTAAGAAATCCTCCAAGTTTGAAGGTAATGGTACCCTCCTCGTCGAATTCAAAATCGGGATCACTTCATGAACGCAGTTGAAGGTGATTAGGAACTCCATCATGGGGTTTGTGAATATCTTCTCTCTCATGGTGAGTATCATCAACCATTCACCATGGCTACACAGATCCCCCGGTACTTCTCTACGTCTAATGGATTGAATGGTCTTCCAAAGAATAACTAGATGTTCCCCAATATCCTTATACAAGAGTTCCACTAACTTCTTATGTTCATTAAGCGCAAAGAGAGTGTCGTGTTGCGCTCCAAGAAGTTGTTGTCTCAGAGGCATGCTCCTACAAAACAACCATTTGGAAACAACTAGCACAACATTCACAATCTCATAGAAACGTTCAATACAATTAACTCCCCCACACTTGTTCTTCATCAAACTCAAACACAAGGGTAAACAACCGAACTTAAATAACCGATAATATTGTAGCATAGGGTTTTGGCAACAGGTACACATGAAAAAAATTCATAAGATAAACTAATGATGGAAGTCAATACCCGGTGGCCTAAATATCAATCTTGAAGCTAGACATCGCCTAGATTGACATCCTTCATCTATCAAAATTAATCACCAAAGTCGTATAAACACACATGTAGACAGCTTTCAAACCAAACAAACCATACTAAACAAGTATAAATCCATCCACATTCATGCAAAGCAAGGTAAGCAAAACAATATTAATCATCCAAGAGATAGAACTCATAAAAAATAAGCATGTTCAAGCATTCTATCTCATTGGGACATTTAACCAAACACGTGACGGACAATGTTCAAACATAAAGCAATTAGGGAATAATTACCTCACTGAGCTACAATTATCCTATAAATTATCTAATAATCTATGCTACACCATCTAATCACAATTTCAAACCATTCCCCTCAACTTAGTCCAACCAAAATATCAACTACCCAAGTTTTGATTTCCCAACCCTAGAATCTAATATATATATATATATATATGGGTATTGAAGGGGGAAATGAGAATCAAACCTTGAACTTGGAAGGAATACTAAGGATAGGTATGAGAAGATGACGGAAGGACGAAATAGTTACAAAAGCGGATTTTATTACGAGTTTCGAAGGACAATGAATTTGAGTTTCGAGCTCCGATGAGCCTAGCTTTGGTTGGTGATGGGGTGCACTAGAGCGGCCATCTGATGGTGGTGCTGGTTGTGGTCTTGGATTTTAATTTGGTTGATTTCTGAGGAATTGGAGGGTGATTTATGGGAGGTGGAGTTGAGAGGAGAGGGAGAATGGGGTGATTGAAATGAAGAAAGAAGGAGAAAAAGGATTGAATGTCTGATTTGAGGGGCTGCTCGAGCGTCATGGGCACGTTACGGATGTGACCTGCACATGACTACCTTTAAAAATTTTAAGACACGAGTGTCACGGTCTGGTCACAGCTCTGACCTAGTTGTGACAGATCTCGACTCAATTTTGGAAATTTTATCACGGACAGACATCATAGTCGTGATCTGCACAAATTTATCATTTTTTACTCTTTAACATCCCTTAACCACAAAAATTGACTTTCAACCCTAGCATGCCCAGTTTATGGAAAATTATGGGATTAAGGATGACTACTATGTCATTCCATCTACCTCCAAATTCACAAAATGCATGTAAATCACAAAACATTCAAAAGGTAAAGGAAAGAAATCGAACCAACGTTGGGGTGACTCCCAACTAGCGCATTTTTACGTGATATCGTTGGACGGTTGCCCTTAAGTTTCCATTCCATATCAAAACCTCCTTGAATTTGACGTTTTCATCGACAAAATGGGGCTAGGAATGTTTACCATTTGCCAGATCATATGATTAAGGATCATGTATTTTGAAGGTGCTTAAGACATAGTCTTTTAAACCTCATTTCACTTTCCTTCTTCTCTTTATCTCAAATTAAATGGAGTAAAATAGAATAGTCAAAATAAAATCCATAGGGATTTATGATGGCTTGGCCTTGTCTTGCAAAGTGTTATAACAAAAGGATCTAATGCTAGGGGCCTCTCTAGGTTAGGTTAACTTTTGTTTTCATACTGAGTGACCTCTTTGGGAACCTCAACCCGGATAAACCCTAAGCATTCATCCTCCTCTTCTTCAACCTCCTCTCCTTACTCTTAAATAATATCTTCCTCATTTTTTCACTCAAGCTCATCTTTCAAGTCCTTTTCATGTTCAACCAAAGTAAAGATGAGGCTGCTAGAAAGATCTTTGCTAGATAAGAAATCACACTCTTCTTGCTCTTCCACCACTTCGAGTTGTTTCCTTTGCTTTATTCCCACATCTTACATAGAAGCAACACGGAGGAAGACTAGGATCACTAGTATTGATGTACTCATACCCTATGTTGAAGCACTCAACGGCCATATCCCCCGTATTTTTCAAATTTGGTGGTGCTGAGGGATGATGCATTCCTTAATCCTCGGAGATTGGTTTCTCTCCATCCTTCCTTGTACTATAATTGCAAGCTTCTCCAACTTCTTGTTGAATGCATTTTTGAGCAAGGTGAGCACACAATTTCGTAGTAACTTTCCTTCGTGAGGGCAACTCTTTGAACTCCAACAGAAAGTTGGATTGGGGAGATGGAGTTATTCACGCCTCAATTTGAAATCCAAACTACTCTTCGGCACTGGGAGTGATGGAGGTGTCCAATCAATGTATTAAGGGTGTTCTTCTTGGTAGGGTGGATGGACTTGTATCCTTCAGGGTATCCTTGATAATCATTGAGAGGGGATGTTCTCGGATAATCGAATCTACGGCTTGTATCAATGCTTGAAGCTCCGGGATAGCATCAATTTGGTGGTTGGTGGTATCCCCAATTGTTATGCCAACTGATAATCATCTATATTTACACATTATCTTTATACACAAAAACAACTACAAACTATGAAAGCAAAAAGTGGTGAATATAGAAAACAAAAGACGAAAACAACTTAACATAAGATAACAAGAGGAAACATAACAAAAAAACAAAGAATATGTAAGATAACATAAAAATACAAGATATACACAATTTCACGACAAATAACAAGAAGAAGCCCAAAAATGAAAAAGATACAATAAAATGACTAGAGTAGTTTTGACTTTTCCTACTAACCTAAGGGTCCCCTGCAACGGTGTCAAAAACTTGATGCGAACCAAGTTATAAACTCGATCTTACCATATATCAAATCTAATTCGAGCCAAGTATAAATCGAATTGGCGAAGTAGTATAGAGGATATCCTCGAGGTCGTATTCCCACGGGCACTTTTGGTTCAAGGACTAACTAACCTAGATAAGAAAGAAACAACCAACTAAGTAGTATGAAGGTCGCTAGAGATGATAGTTTAGTATCGAATCCTTATAGTAGTAGGATGGGTATATGATTTATGCAAGCCCTAGCCCAATTTATGTAAATCCGGGGTACGGGTACCTTGGCCGATCTTAACCATTCATTTTCAATCTCCACGGCTCACGTTTGTTAAACCTAACTGCGCCATTAAATAACTAAACAAAAAGCCTCCTTACGCGTTAAGATTGTTTTCATCCTAGTCCAACTAACTGCCCCGATTAAATTAAATGGATTAAGACTGCAAACCCAATTGGGTAGACCCACTGCCGCCCTAACCAATTTCCAGTCTCCCTAACCAATTACACGATCTCTCTCTCGTCTTGGAGGGACACCCCTTCACAGTTCCAAGAGAAGCTCCCCATCCAATTTGAACTCCCCAACTTAATCATCTTTTTGAATCCCAATTACTTGCATCCACATTCGACGTAGTTTGAATTTCCCAAATTATTTTGTCTTGTTTGTTCTTCCCCATTTTATTTCCCTTCGCCTATCTCTTTTTAACACGATTACGGCGACCATGTCTATTATTGTGTTCATCAAACTTTTCATTTTGCTAACCCTAGGGTTCATGTCGCTAGTGCTTTGTCATCTTGTCTTGCCGTTATTGTCATTTTCTCGAAACTTCTATCACTCGGTGAAATTAAGGTTTCATGATATTTAGTGTTCGTCTCGCCCAGAGGATTGAGGAAGGAGATGAAGAAGACATAATTTGATTCGAATCGGATGGAGAGGTCTCCTTAATTTGTGTTTATGTATTAACTGTGCGTTTAGGACTAATTCTAGTTGGACTGGGTCTGATCATTGATTTTTGCATGCTTTTAAATAATATTCAAAAGTGGGCTTGTACATGATCCATGAAATATTCAAAAGTGGGCCTGGAACGTGCGAGCCCATTTGATTTCTCCTGCCGTATCAATTCGTGCGCCAACCCTACTTTAACTAGCTTTACTTACCCTAGTTTAACCTACACGAGTTACCATCATCATTACATATCTTCCGAAATCTTCTAACTCTTGACATTCCAGACTCAACCGTCTCCATCACACTCACGTCTCCAGACTCAACCCCCACGATCACTTTTTCTTACACCTACATTCTCTCTCTCCTCCATCTTCACCTTCCCCTTGTTCCTTATTCCTCCAGACTCCATGGCAAACAAAAGTAGATCGTTTGTGGAAATGGGGATACTATCTATATCAAATGAAGACTGTCGATCCACCGCCACCCTCGGTGACTATCTTTCATTTACAAGGAAAACAACAATTGTGGCCGAGTACGAGTTCATCCACCTAAGTCCATTCCCTCCAGAAGTGAAGACGTTAATAAAAAATCTTGGCTGGGAAAGTTTCTTTGATCTCCGGAGTCGAGGAAGCACCAGTTACTTCCCCCATGTGGTGAGGAAGTTCTACCACAATCTACATCTTATTGGTCCCTGTGATTCTCATCTCGTGTCGATCTTCCTGGGACATAGAGTCTGCTTCCAGCCTCATCAGTTTGCTGAGATCCTTGATATTACCGCCGGAGGACACCCCATTGAGAGCAGAAGCGATCTTGGGCGGCTGTACGATTTTGAGTTTGAAGTTGAACTGCGAAACTCACGAAGGGGCGCATCCAGGCTTCTTTCCTCCCAGATCCTCTTCGATTCCTCCACTGGTTGATGTTAGCATCAACTTGACAAAGGCAGAACATCTTGATTCAACTTGAAGACCAAGGCAAGATTCAAATATGAAAATCAAGGTGGAAAATCAGTGGCTGTCCCAAAAGCAATTGAGGCAAGTTTACAAACCAAAAAGGAGAAAGAATATAAACTTACCATACTTGAAGATCTCAAGGGAATTCAAATTCTCAACAGCTACCTTGCAGCCTATAAAAGGCGATTTGAAGGAAGAGCAAGGCAACCTTTCAAGAGATCAACATAGCTAGCTAAGACAAAAGGGGATTTTGTGAGAGTAGCAAGGTTGATAGGAAAGGGGGTTTTCTCAAAGGGTTCGGGGAGAATTGCTTTGAGGGTTAGTGTTGGGGAAACACTGGTTTCGAGTTGCTGGGGAAGCAATTCGGGTTTGAGAAAAGAGAGCTAGATCAATCGGGTAGAGGTTGATCAAAGGGCTCTGATAGACCGATAATTACACGTATTTTCACCCCTATTCTTGAGCCGTTTGAAAGGTTAATTCTCGGGTTTTAAGCCGATTTCACGCGAGGTTGTGTGTTTATGTCACATTTCAGGACCCAGCGTTGGAATCAAGGCGAAGGAACGAGATTCGGGTCGAAAGGAGCAAACGAGGATTGAAGTGGGCTGGAGGAAGAAAATACCCGGCCATGACCGAAAATACCCGGCCGGGTATATTTCTGAAGAGGCCGGGGATTTCTCTTTTTGGCGTCTGAGAAACAGAAGGGGGCCCGGGAAAATGCCTTAAATCCCCGGTCGGGGATTATGAGGACAGACCGGGGATTTTCCCCTTAAATGAAACGGTGAGTTTTGCAATACCCGGTCGAAACCCAAAATACCCGACCGGGTATTTCGACCGGGTATCGCGACCAGGCAGCTGATAAAAGGAAGAAGAAGGCCAACATTGAGGGGATTCGAGTTTTAGAGAGAGAGATCAGTTCCTAGAGAGAGAAAGTGACGAGCAAGAGTTCCCAAGTGCCCTAGATTGATCTTCAACACCATTGGAGGCCAGTTTGAGCTTGGAGAAGTGCCAATCAACGTCCAGAAGCAGGAATCCATCCTTCGCAGTATGAATTCCGTGTCTGATTCTGCTTTTGCTTTCTTCTCTATGGAGTAGTTCTCCCATTCATCTGGGTATGGAGAACCCTAGATTTGTATGTTAGGCTTTGATTGTATGAACCCAAGTACTGATTCTATGATTGATTATATTCAATTGAGGTTTTAACGATTGAATGACTTGAATCCTGATCAAATTCCTGTTGTTTCTGCTTTAACCTAGAATGAGAATATCTGCCTAGGTTAATAGAGTATCCTTGATTGAAGGTAGGGAGTTGGTGACTTTAGTCGAGGAACCAACTCACTATTCTGTACCGGATTTACTCCGGTAGTGGAGGTTTTGTTCTTAGGGCCTCAATCTATCGACTCCGGTGGAGGTTAGTCGCCCGCTAGAGAGTCAGATTGAGAGGGTCTGAAGACCTTTAGTCGAGACTTCAGGCTGTTTAAGAACCTTCCGCAGTATAACTGTCATAGAAACTGAACTTGGTAATTACAATCCGGCTTAACTGCAGTCTAGGGGGAACCATATCCGGGTGACCTCTCTTAACCTGAATACAACAGTTTACTTGCTTTGTTAGTTTGATAGTTTAGACTTGCATTCCAGTTTCATTGCTAGATAACACGAATTCACTGAGTAGTCATCATATCTAGGACCCGGGTTGATAATTAAACCTAAACCCGCTATACTACGCTTTAGGAAGTGGTTACACTTGGCCAATTCCTGGAGTGACAGTAGAGTCGAGTCAAGTTTTTGGCGCCGTTGCCGGGGACGGCTAGGTTGTTGAAGAAAAGTGATTTCTGTTAATTTAGCCTTTTTCTTTTTGCTTTGTTTTCTTTGTCCCACTTGTGCCTTCACGGGTTTGTTGCTTGAGTGTGTGCAGGTAGTGCATGACCCGTAGCCAGTCGGTGGGTTTACTGCCGTTGAATCCAGAGATTGACCGCACCTGTCGCCAGCTCAGGAGACAACAGCGAGCTAGACTGGCTACGGAAGAGCGCATAGACGGCCACCTGAGCAGCGATTCTGAAGAAGAGCACGGGATGGACGGAGACTACAACCAACACCAGGGGAATCCACAGCAGGTTCCCCCGGTGAATCAGGTCCTGGGGAACAACCCCATACCCCAGGATCATGGAGCTCATCATCCACCGCAGCCGGGTCCCACCTTGGAGTACTACTACACTCCGCGGATTGCTGACATCCGCCCGGTCATCCTCTACCCGCCTATTCCAGCAAACAACTTTGAGATCAAGCCATGCTGGATTCAGCTCATCACATCTTCTATCCAGTTCCATGGCTTGAAGAATGAGGAGGCCAGGGTGCATCTTTCCCGTTTTCTGCAGCTGACGAACGGGTTCAAGCTGAATGGAGTCCCCGATGATGCGATCCGCCTTCATCTCTTCCCCCATTCTCTGGCGGGGAATGCTAAGAGGTGGTTGGAGACCCAGCCCCCATTGTCCATCACCTCTTGGGACGATCTGGCGGACAAATTCGTGCACAGGTATTATCCGGCATCGAAGACTACAGAGATTCAGCGGGAGATCACTCACTTCCGCCAGGAGCCAGAGGAGTCACTTCGTGATGCTTGGGAGCGGTATATGGGCTATTTCTGGCAGTGCCCCCATCATGGCTTCAGCGATGCATTCACAGTGGGGAACTTCTACAGTGCCCTTTCTCCAGATAGCCAGAGGGTGATTGAGTCTCTATGCCCAGGAGGAGATATTCTCACTAAGACTCCACCCGAGCTGAACCAGATGATCAGTACTTTGGCTGCCAGAGATCATTCTTGGGGACAGGGTAGCCGAGGCAGACAGTCCTGGGACCGTGGTGTGCACGCCATGGAGACCAGATCCGGGCTCGAGCAGCAGGTAGCTGAGCTAGTGCAGACATTGAAGCAGCCCAACAGTCTTATTCCGGGCAGAGGTTTGGCTACACCTCCAGTTGCTCAGTGTCAGTGGTGTGAGAGCTCCAATCACCTAGTGGAGGACTGCCAGGCTATGAGGGAGTCTACCACACCCCAGGAGCAGTTGGCCTTCATCGCCAATGCGAGGCGCCTCGATCCATACAGTAGCACATATAATGAGGGGTGGCGCCAGCATCCCAACTTCGCCTGGAGCAGCAACACCACTAAACCACCTGGTTTCCCAGCACCAGCAGGTGGTTTTCAGCAGAGGCAGCCCTTCCAGGCTCGCCAGGGGCTAGACCCACAGCAGCAGCCCTACCAGCCTAGGCAGGGCCAGCCATTCCAGCAGCCCCAGCGCCAGTTTGCCGAGCCAGCAGCAGCTCCGGGCCCAGATGACAGGATGACGAAGCTGAAAACATTCTAGCTTCATTCATGACTAGCACTCATGCTGCTATCACATCACTGGAGGCAGGCCAGAGGAACCAGGGTGCCATTTTGCAGGATTTGCAGACCCAGGTGGGCATCTTGGCCCGTCAGAACACCACCAGGGCACCGGGGACTTTGCCTGCCACCACTGTTCTGAATCCTCGAGATCCCCACCAGCATCAGCAGCTGGATGCCATTTATACCAGGAGCGGTAAGGTCATATATGCTGATCCTATCCCGGCCAGACAGGAGGAACCACTGCCTGCTTCAGCACTTCCAGCCGACGATGCAGAAGTGCGGGTGGAGAAGGAAGCCCCTGCTCCCAAGCCACAACCAGTGGTTAAGGAGCATGTACCCCAGCTTCCCTTCCCCACTCGCCTACACAAGGACAAGCTGGAGACTGAGTTTGCCAAGTTCATGGCAATGTTGAAGCAGCTCAACATCAGCATACCGTTCATGGAGGCACTGTCGAAGATGCCCAAGTATGCCAAGTTCATGAAAGATATCTGCACCAACAAGAAGAAACTTGGGGATCTCTCGACAGTGATGCTGAGCGAGGAGTGTTCTGCTATCCTGCAGAACAAGCTGCCCGAGAAGCGCAAGGATTCAGGGAGTTTTACTATCCCTCTTACTATTGGCAGCATGCATGTAGGAAAGTCCTTGGCGGACCTAGGCGCTAGCATTAACGTCATGCCATATAAGTTGTATAAAATGCTAGACCTAGGTGAACTTAGCCCTACTAGGATGAGCATTCAATTAGCTGATCGTTCTATTGTGCATCCTAGGGGGATCATAGAGGATCTGCTTGTTGGTGTTGGTGCATTCACATATCCTGTTGATTTTGTTATTCTTGATATACATGAGGATGTGGATGTGCCTTTGATTCTAGGTAGGCCATTTCTTGCCACCGCCAAGGCACTTATTGATGTGTATGATGGTAAACTGATCTTGCGTGCTGGGAATGAACAGCCTACTTTTTCTGTGACTGAGTTTGATCACTGTGCTATGATTGCTGTCATGCCTGTGCATGCTATGTCTGATCAGGTACACGAGTCTGTCGTGTACCCTTTTGCACCTCCTATTTTGCAGGACCCTCCTCTCATTCCTTCGCCGCCACTCCATCCAGCCTCGCCTCCGAACAAAAAGCTCAAGGAGGAGTGGTGGCCGAAGCAGCAGGTTGCTAAGCCTGCACGGAAGAAGAGTGGAGACCACTATGAGCTGTCCCACCTCCTGCACCACGACCACCCTGGCCGTCTGGGTACTCGCTCTCCTGCATCTTGCCAGATGGGCAGGTCGAGCTGACTGATGAGGGTGGTCGCATCCGTCGGGTGCATGGCCACAACCTCAAGCTGTACCTCAAGAGCGATGTGGATCCGCTCTTGGAGGCACCTGTTCCTGCACCGCCCTGAGTATCCACCATGGGCGTCCAGCTAATACGACGGTAAAGAAGCGCTTGTGGGGAGGCAACCCCACCACGGTTTGATTTTCTTTCTTGTGTTTTGAGTCGGATTGTAACCCGGTTTGGGTTTGGTTTGTTTTCTTTTGGTTTGGATGATATTTTATTGGGCTGACCATTGAACCTAACATATTGTGTTTGAGCTCTTCTGTTCCCCTTTGGCTGTGCTTGGCCCGACTGGCCCATTTCCAGTCTCCTGCAGTCCGTGCATACCGCTAACATCGTTCCCTTATCCTTCCCTCTTCTCCATTGAGGGCAATGTCGAGCTTAAGTGTGGGGGGATGTTTATCTTTAACTGCATTAGATCTGTTTGTGTGCTTGGAGCCTAGTCCACTGTCCAAATTTTTAAATTTGAGGGCCCCAAGTACGTGTTTCCTTGCAATTGCCTGCTCAGTATGCTTTGAATTGACAGTCTTTATAGTAATATGCAACCTAGGGAGGTAGTGTAGCACTATGGAGGATGTTGATGCATTTAAGAAGTCTCATTTCTTCTTCATATTGAGTTGGTTGATTGAGTGAATTAGTGATCTTAGGACCCTTGAATTGTGTGGTGTTGTGGATTCTCTACCGGTCGTGGACTCTTGTATCATGTTTTGAAAATAACAGGTGCTCAGAAATGTGCTTCAAAATAACGTCTCCCGTGCGAATAGGGCGAAAGTGTGTAAGGGGAGACGGGAATCTGTTCCCAATTTCCACCTACTACATCCAGCCCCCTTGCATGGCTTTCCCCCGCACGAGGCTCGAGACATCCGCTCCTGGCATGGCCGGTAAGAGCAGGTTGGGACCCTTGAAAAGAAAAGAAAAGAAAAAAACAACAGTAAACAAGCAAAACGAAAAAAAGGGGTTCCAACCATCTTCAAGAAGAAAACAGAGCACCTAGAAAAAATGTGAGTCCATGATCTTTTGTTTTTGAGAATCTCTTCATCCACGATTCATTTGTCCTCTATTTACTATTTGCCATGATGCCGACTCGATATTAGTGCTCTCGCCGAAGAAGTTAGGAGATGACTTGTGCGTCGGTTGACCTCGTAAGCTGCTAAATGATCTAGGAAGTCCTCTACCTACGATCTGGGTTGTTTGTTGCTATAGAGGTCTGGAGAGTTGCATTGGTTTGAGTTAGGTTTGCTTGGGGACAAGCAAACGGTTAAGTGTGGGGGAGTTTAATAGACCGATAATTACACGTATTTTCACCCCTATTCTTGAGCCGTTTGAAAGGTTAATTCTCGGGTTTTAAGCCGATTTCACGCGAGGTTGTGTGTTTATGTCAAATTTCAGGACCCAGCGTTGGAATCAAGGTGAAGGAACGAGATTCGGGTCGAAAGGAGCAAACAAGGATTGAAGTGGGCTGGAGGAAGAAAATACCCAGCCATGACCGAAAATACCCGGCCGGGTATATTTCTGAAGAGGCCGGGGATTTCTCTTTTTGGCGTCTGAGAAACAGAAGGGGGCCCGGGCAAATGCCTTAAATACCCGGTCGGGGAT